AATTGTTTATAGATATGAATTATGAAAAATTAAAGTGAAAAATTGAAATAAAAAAATTTGTGTAACATTATATCACTATAAAAAATTAAAGTTTTAGAGACTAAAATTTAGGGACAAAATTATTTTTTAAGAACCAAATATTTTTGTTGCGAAAGGTGATGTTACTATATTTTTAGCAACAAAAATTAGACATTAGTGATGAATTATTATCCTTTTGGGACCAAATTTTTTGCCTCAAAAGATAAACTATTTTTAGACCAAATTATTTTGCCTCTAATGTCTATTTATTAGTGACATTTTCAAAATTTTGTTGCTAAAAGCCTTGTTTTGGACTTTTCGAAACAACCTTTTAACGACTATTCTCATGACGATAGAAATTGGTTCCTAAATGTCTTTTACAACAAAATTTTTACCTTTAGAGGCTAAAATATTTGGTCTCTAAACTCTTATTTATTGTAGTGTATATTTAAAGGACTTATTATTTATTGTTTAAGATAAGATTGTGATCTTAACAATCTAGTTATAAATCAATATTTATATTTATAAAATTTATTACTTATCATTTAAATTCTTCAACTAAGTATATATTCATTACTTTAGTTATATTTTAAGTACAAATCAATTTATTTATACAAATTTCTATACTTTGTATATATAACATATAATTTAAGAGACAAGTATAATTATAATATTTAACAATCGATAAAAAAGCACGTGTGTCAACATACCTGCCAACCACTAGTATTTTATAAGAACCTTATTGATATGTAATTTTCTCAATAGTTTACGCGTGGCATAGGGGGTTGGAGTGAATAAGACATAAGAGGATCCTCATTAAACTCAGTAAAGTTGGTTTTTAGTTAAATTAGCGATATAAACTTTAAAAAATCAAGTCCATCACTCTCACTGCAAGCGCATCAAAATTTATGACTCTTACAATATCTCGCTATAACAAGCGAGGTACTGTTCATCGCTACAACAAGCGAATTAGTGTTACCGAATGTCCGTCCAGACGTCCGGCCGGTCAACCGGTCAACGGTAATTTTTTTTTTCTTTTTTAAGAATTGTTTAGCTGACAGCTTATCAATTTAATAAAAAAAAATAAAGAATAACAAATACAATAAAAAAAATAATAGTTTAATATGATTGAGTTAGAATAAAAAATTTAATATAGTGAATATTAAAAAAGTAGCTAACTAAAATAGTAAAATAATCTGAACCATACACATTTTAAAATACATCAAATAGAATGTGCCTATAAAAAATCAAGTTAATTGGATATCGTTTACCTATTAATCCACTCACATTTGTATTCATTTTAATACTTTAAATCACAATTATTATTTATTTGTATACATAGAAATGTGAGTGGATGAATGGATAAACGATATCCGATTAACTTTATTCGATTAACTTGAATTTTTACAGGCATGTTCTACTTGATGTATTCTAAAATGTAAACGGTTCGAATTATTAAAATGAGCCCCAAAATAAACCAATTTCTGCCGCATAACAGATACTGCTGCACACCACCCGCGCCGCAGCGTCCCCAAACTTGTATATACGTTCACCTGCTAGACTTATGAATAAATAGATAGACCCAGAGGAGACCCTGATAATAATTGAAGTGCACCAGATACTACAAATTTACAGTGTGAACCTTCCTTGGGCTTACATCATGAAACACTACTACAAATACAGATAAAGATCACACTTTTTTTGTGTGATGTATGTTTTTTAATCACACCTTTTAAGTTTTATTAAAGTGTGGTCTTTGGGAGTGTGATTAAAAGGGGTCATTTTTAATCACACTTTTTAGGTGTCATTAAAAAATGCTTTCATCACATCTTTAAAGTGTGATTAAAAATATTTAGATCACATCTTTTAAGTGTGATTAAAAATATTTAGATCACACCTTTTAAGTGTGATTAAAAATATTTAGATCACAATTTTTAAGTGTGATTAAAAATATTTAGATCACACATTTTAAGTGTGATTAAAAACATTTAGATCACACCTTTTAAGTGTGATTAATAACTAATAAAACTAATAATAAAAAAAAATCAACATATTTGAAGAATAATCAATATTATTTTATACGCGCATTTCAAGAATGTAATACACACTATGGACTATACTTTGAATCACAACCACATATTAAATAAAATAACGTCATATTTCATAAATGAAAATTAAATATGTTCAAAAATATATACAAAGGAATTAAATAAAAAATTTTAAACGATGCTTACATATATTAAAAAATGAAAAAACTTAAAAAACTAAATTCTTGAATTCTTTGACTATATTTTGCATCTTTCCAAGAATTTCTATCCTGAAAAATGAAAACACAAATTAATTCAGAAATCGCTAGAAGCATATGAATCACTACAAGAAATAACACTTTTGCCAACCAAAAAATTGGTCGCTAAAAGCCCATTTTTAGTCGGCAAAAATTGTCCGCAACCAATTTTTTTGGTCGCTACTTTGGTCGCCAATTGAGGGTCGACAAAAGTAATTCGCGACCAAAATTTTGGTTGGTCGGGAAAAGTTAGATTTGACGACTAAATTTTTGGTCACTAAATATGTCATTACAGCGACTAATCCATTTCATCGCTAAAACACTTTGGTCGCGAAAAGTGATATTTTCCCGACCAAATATCTTAGTCGCCAATTGAGATATTCCATGACCAAAAAGTTTGGTCGCCAATTATCATATTCAGCGACCAAAAAATTTGGTCGCCAATTGTGACATTCCACGACCAAAAATAACAATGAACAGATATAAAATAAACAGATGAGATGTTGAAGAGTGAAGCTGAACAGATATAAAATAACAATGAACCCTTAAAATTCTCACACAGTGCTTATGATAATCAGAGGTCATATTCCCATCTCCTTGTCAAAGTTTCGATACTTAAGAAGCTACAAGATGTATGTTTCGCTACTAGATCTGGTCAAAAATGATTTTAATGGAGAGAGATTACGACACTTTAACTGTTGTGCATGTTCATGTCTGTATCCAAGTGAATATGCCTATTTTGATGCCTATGTTTATTGGCAGTGTCAACAAAGCTATTCATGTTATATACACATTCTACCAGTTGAATAGAATTGCTTACATGGCACAACTTTAGGGGTTCTTTTGAAACCAGAAAGTGCATGTCATACTCCATGTCACTGCAGAAGATGCATATATAACAAGAAGTTTTACTGTGTTACGTGTATTAAGATGTATTGATCCATGAGCAAATTAATGTAATAGTCTAAAAACTTGATTTTAACAGAAAGCTCTATGAGGGAGAATTATCAGACTAAGCCACACTAAAGTTACTCTAAAAAACCAACCAAGTACTACCAAAACAATCATTGTTGAACCTAAATTCAAAGGACATATGTTCCCAGTTTCTTAATAAGCCACAAGCTATATGTTAATAAGCTACTAACAAAACCAACTTATTTAGAAAAAGAAATCAAACCACCAAAAAAAAAATTATAAAAAAAAAACAAGATTATTCATCTTAAAGGATGGCATGGAGCCGCTTTGAGTGAGTGCATGTCATACTCCATGTCACTGCAGATGGCGTACATATACATAACAAGAAGTTTTACTTATGTACAAAGATGAGAACTTGAGAAAATTATAACGAACTAGATTTTAATAGAAAGTTCTACGAAAGTTCTATGAGGAGAGTTATACCAAACTGTAACTACAATGGATTTGCTTTTAAAAAAAACTCTCTTAGTACCGCACAAAACAATCACTGTTGAACCCAAATTCAGAGGTTATGTGCTCCCATTCCACTCTCCTGAAAATTCCCTTTTTATTATTATTATTATTTTTTATTTTTTAGATAGGGAGTATACAAGCTATCTTAATAAATCTTTTATTTTAATAAAATCAAGATCTCGGTTGCATTATTTTTTATTGATTTTATTTATAATTTTTATGTGTGTAATGTTTATTTTATAATCATCTTCATTATTGATTAATTTGTTATTAACGATTTTTTAATAATTTATATTAATACATTTATTTATTTTATTACAACAATAGTATCTTTTATTTATTTATTTATTATTGATTAATTTGTTATTAATACTTTAATTTAAATAGAATATATTCTCTTACTTGAGACCATAGTTATATGTTAATTAAAAGATACTGGTACACACTATTTTACACATCCATAATTATGTGTGAGTATAAAATAGTGTTCCAAAATCTAGACACCTTAACAACTATTATCTAAACTGACTCATCATTTCAACATTTTGATTGAAAAAACGTATCAACAAATTTTGATTAAAAAAAAAAGTATCAGCATCATTAGCTTTATATCAATAGAAAACATTGCACAGCTTCTTAACGCATGGAAAGGCGTTTCAAACGAAGGATTTGGATTTTAAAATGGAATGAGGCTGGCAGAATGGTACCGCACACACGAGTTCCAAGCTATCGATTAGTTAGTGTGTCCCCCCACATAAGACCGACAACACCACACCAATCAACGGTTTGGATCCCAACACAGATTATAAAGGCAAGCAATATGACAAAAACCAATCAAATAACCGAATTAGTCTTTCTATTCCTATAACAACTGCTAATAAATAGGATCAAAATAATAGCTGAGAACAACTATAGGTCAAAAGAATACCAATCAAATCGTTGATAACTGAACAAACTTTAAAAATGACAGAAAAGTCTAAACAAATAGAAAATAAAAATAATAATCCTAATACCAATTCCCAGATCTTCAAACTCTCTCCATACCAAATCCCAACCCTAAAAAGCATTTCAGCAACCAATTTGCCACCCCCCACAAAAATGAAACAGATCCTAGAAATTTTAGGAGAAAACCCCACAATCGCAGCTCATGAACCCTAAAAATAAATAACACTAGGCCTCTACAAATGCATATGCATATATTAAAGAAGAAATGTACATACCATGCCAAATTGGGCTCGCTTCATTCGTTCAAGGACAATGAGCCGAGCTGATCACCAACATTGGGTCCCGATGATGCTAAATGGAGGACATCCAAAGCCTCGAAAACTTTCTTCTTCAAAGCATCTGGAGCCTTGATAAGATGGAGAACCTCGGTTTGGTCCATCTCCAGCAACATGCCTGTCACTTTTCCAGCATGGGTCAGGCTCAACCCTCTCCACTAGAGGAAATAGCTGTTCCCCTAACATCTGTCATTTTGACAACAAGGCCATTGCAAACATTCAGAATCAAGAACCAACATTTTAAATAGTTTTCAGATTTTATGCCATGGAAGCTGAAATGAAGAGACAAGATTAAAAAACTCACCATGCGCTGATTCTCTGGCGTAGCAGAAGCCAGAGCAGAAGCAAGTGTTGACATAGGCACTGGCCCAGGATGATGAACATCCAATGGAGTCGTTGACATTCCTGAAACATCAAAAGGCAATGGCATCATTGGAGCCATGAGTCCTTGAGGAACAATAGATGGGTCCATACCATTTCGTGTGCTGGCCACATATCTTAAGCCTTGGTTGGTGTTTCGATGCATCAACTAATTTAAAATGACAACAAAAATACATACAACACCATTAGAAAGATCATGAAATTCAAAAGCAGAACACAATAGTCTTAACAGACATGGGACAAAGACATTCGTAAATCAGTCACTGGGAATTCTTGCTAAAGTTTTTTTATATCAGCCTTCCAACAAGGCTGGAATTTTTAAAAATTACTAAGTGTATGTCATGTTCGATCTAATTCCAAGGCCAAAGACCCTTGATTATATAAATGCATAAAGCATAAGGAGGAAGAAATGAAAAACAACGCTTGGAGACAACATAGAGAACAATAATGTACCTGCTGATGCTAGTGCTGCATCTGTAGAGGATTCCCACCTCTCCTTGCTCCGACATGCTGTCCGGTTTGTCCTTTTTGCCTATTCAAGTTGCCAAATATCTCCCTATTCCACTTCTTTACCTTCTCCTTGATTAATTGCAACTTCCTCAAAACAACTATAAATAAATATTATAAAATGGGTCCATTCACATGGTTTTCTTTGTTGCAAACTTGCAATACTAACAATTCAAGCTCAAAGCTGCATATGTTTCCAATTTTGAGTGATCATCTACATCTTCTAAAAATTTCTACTCCATCCAGTATGTCACATGAAGATGTAAGGGCAATAATCTCATTGATTTTTTTTCTTTTCCCCAAGGTCCCCTTGATGAAGAAAACATGACAGCTTTCTAAAGTAATTTCATATACATTTACAATAACACAGTGGTGAGGCAGTGCAGCACGCACATGATCCATAAGGCATAGTAACAGGACTTTAATTCAAACATTTGGCATCCACATCCTATACACCAAATAACAAGTTATTTGGTTCAGAAGACAAGGCAGGGACATGATACACATGAAGCAATGCAGCATGTATGTAGCCCAGAATGCATGCTGAGAAAAGGTCAAATTCAAATTTTAGCATCATGTAAACCAAACAAAACAGATCAAGAACCTGGATAACCCACTGTAGAAAAACACCAAGCGAAGCTCCACAAGATATAAGAATTCCACCTAAATAAAGCAGTAAACATTAACATGAACATAGTTTGCAACTATATACAGCATTTAAACAGAGTCTCTTACATGCCAAATAACATATCACCAGTCTGGAAAGCATTTAATTGCCTTGCAAAAGCATATGTAAAGCACTGTAATAATGATAGTAGTTACATTCACATTCTTGAGTGTTAACACAACAAGATTCTCTATCTACTAAGATCATTTTTCAGATTTAAAATAAGAATTTGGAAGGTAAAATAGTGAGTAGACAAAAATGTTGGAGGATAACTCACACCAGCAATAATGAGCATGCTAGAGAAAACAAGGCTAACAGAGGGAAGGATGTTATTTCCTTCTGCACTGAGAGCAAGGATTAAACTTGGTTATTAGATCTTTGCACAAGAATTGCATAACCGCCAAAATTATTAACAAATCAAAATGCAATTACAGCATATAGTACTTGCCTCATATATCCAAAACCAAGACCAATAGGGCCAGCAAGAACTATGCAGGGAATCATTATTTTCACCTGACAATGAAAAGAAAGCAAGCTAATCATAACGAAGTGTTGTGCGTTGGTTGGCTTATAATATGCAATTTCACAAAATTATTATCATAAAAATTACAGTTTAATTATGCAATTTCTTGGTTGGCTTATAATATAATTAACATCAAATTAAAATATGTTAAGAGGCATGTTGAATTAGCAACACAGATGGGCTACCACAGAAAATCCAGGCATGACCAAAGTTATTGGTTGCTCATAAGAAGTTAACATGTGCAAACTTATCCATTTCCCTCACAGTTTGTGATCTTATTATAAATGCCTAATATCATTATTATTTTATTTTATTTTGTTTAAAGAATGGTAGAAATGTATTGGGTGATACCATATTATGCTCATCTGCCACACAGAGTTTCACCAATAAATACAGAATTACAAGCTAAGAAGTGTAAGATTGATCTTCCTTCAAACTCCTTCAACAATTTGTTTACAAAAACAAACTGTTTAAAATAATTATTTTTTAAAAAACAGAAATTGTTTTACCAATTTTGAATATTATTAGTTGTTATTAATTATGTAATAATTATTTATAAACAAATGAACTAATTATGAGTATTCATATAAGAGGTGATAGAAAATCAATGACATATAATATTTCTCTAATATAAAATTATAAGAAATTTTTAACATAATTAAACATTTAAAGTGATAAATTAAACATATATATATAAATATATTAAAAAAAGGTTAAAAAAATTAGTGATATAAAAATTTGACAATTAAAAGGTTTAAATTGAAATAATTTTTTTTATAAAAGGCAAAAGCAAAATTTTCCAAAAGTTGGTTTGATGTGCCGCCGCCCTGCACATATGCGAATAGGACTATATTACTTAAAACGTTTAAATTGAAATAATTTTTTTCCCAAAAGTTGGTTCCAAAATTTCACAATATTACTTAAAATGTTTAAATTGAAATAATTTTTTTTACAAAAGGTAAAAGCAAAATTTTCCAAAAGTTGAGGACTATGTGAATAGGACTAGATTGCAGTCTCCTGGCCCCGTTTGTTTTCAGAGTGTGATAACCGGTTCGAAAAGCCGTCCCGTTTCTTTAAAGTTGTGTCGGGAATAAAGTTGTCGTTGGAAATTTCTTTCTTAAATTTTTCTAGGGTGGTTGTTTTGAATCTGAGTTTTCACCCGTTCCGGAGGTTGCGGGGTCGGCTCCGGGGTTTCGGAGGTGAAGCCGAGAATTTTTTCGAGCTGGGGACCAAGGCCGCACGTACGGGGCCTTAGGTCGCACGTGCGGGAAACAAAGCAGAAGGGATGGAGCACACTGCTAGAAAAGCAAGTGCGTGAGCTGAGGTGCGGAGAGAGCCGCACGTGCGGGAGGCCGCTCCGCACGTGCGGGAGTGGGAGCCGCACATGCGGCCAAGCGCGTTTTTTTGCTCCGATTTTCGTGCAAACAGCTATATTTTTGCATTTTTTCCCCTTTTCCCTTCATTTCAGATTATATCACTCTCTCTCTACAATTTTTCTCTCTTTTTCCTCTCATCTCTCTCTACACAAACCCTCAAACTTTTACATCTTCTTTGATCTCAAGAAATTCATAGAGATTTTGATAGTAGTTCCTTATACCGAAATGATGAGTGTTTCGGGGGCTTCGTCTGACCAGTGGAGATCGTTTTCCGGCAAAGTTGATTTTTGAAATTCTTCTCCTCTTCTCTCTTGAGACAGGGATTTATTTGATCTTCTTCAATTCCTCTACTATAGATAGACATGTCGTATGTTTTATGGCATAAAAACCATGTTGTATGGATTTTTATAAAAACCATGTTGTATGGATTTTTCTTTGAAAATCATGATAGGGGATCTAGGGTTAGATGTTGAGCTTGGGGTTTTGTGGAATGAATGGTTGTTGAGTTAATTTGGGGTGTGTTTTAACATATTCATGATTAGAGAGTATTTAAGCCCTAATTTTTGCAATTTTTAAAAAACAGAAATTGTTTCACCAATTTTGAACAGAAATTTCAACATAAATTATGCTATAAATCAACAAATCTGAAGCAATTAACAGAAGCAATCAAGCAATTTTTTTTTTAAAAAAAATAGGCAATTTAAACAAACCTCAAGCAATCTAAAGCAAATAAATATGAAGAAAATTGAAGGGAATAAATACTTGGGGAAGGATGGAAAGAGAGAGAGTTGACTATTTGTGAAAACAAGGGAAGAGTCTCTCCTCTATCATCATTCTTCTTCTACCATGGCCTCCTTTGTAACCCTAGACACACCGCCTTCCAATCTTCACTTTCTCTCATCCTTTTGTTTTATTACATCGTCGCTTCCTTCTTTTTCCACTCCCTAGGGGCAAACGAAGCGGCGATTAGAGAAACCAAAATTGTTGGGAGTGTGCGCTAGCTATGAGGTCAGTGAAGAGGGTTGGAGAAGAGGGAGAGAAAGGTCAATCAGTGAGGGTCAATCAGTGAGTGTGAGTGAGAGAAAGGTTTAGGGTAGCAGAGTAAAGGAGGTCAGTGGTGATGAGGGATGAAGATGGAGCGAGATAGTCAATACAAAGAGACGAAAATTTCTTACTTTAAAATTTTTAATTTTAATATTTTTGGTTGAAAGTTTCACATCTTTCTGTTTTGGCGCTAATTAATTTTCATTTGGTGCTTTTTTTTAATAGTACCTTTTATGACAGTAATTGCATGTCGTGAAAAGTGTAGGATCTGTTTAGTAATGTTTACGTTTTCAGTTTATATTTATAAAAACTTTATAAATTAGTTTTTGTTTATTTTTAGAAAAACATAAATTACAAATGGGTTTGGTAATTGACAAAATATTTAATAAAATTTAAAAATATAAAAAATAGTAAGAAATGGCAAGTGGTGGCATGGTGTGATGAGTGGTGGCGGAGGAAGACGATGGTGGAAAATGATGACGGGGGACAGTGGCAACAAAATCAAACTTGACAATATTCAACTTGTTGAAATAATTCATCAAAGAAAAGGTAAGGGCCTGTTTGGTAACGTTTACATTTTCAGTTTATATTTACAAAAATTTTATAAACTGGTTTTTGTTTATTTTTTAAAAAACATACAGGTTGTGGCAGCGGAAGATGGTAGTGGAAAGTGGTGGCGGATGGTAGTGGCGGAAGATGGTGGTGGCGGGTGGTGGCGAGTGGTGGCGGCGGAAGACGGTGGTGGAAAGTGGCGGTAGGTGACGGATGATGGCGGTGGAAGACGGTGGTGGAAAATGGTGGCAAGTGATGGGTGGCGGCGACGAAAGACGGTGGTGGCGGCCGAAGACGGTGGTGGAAAGTGGTGGCAGGTGGGTGGTGGTGGCGTCGAAAGACGGTGGTAGAAAGTGGTGGCAGGTGGCAGGTTGTGGCAGCGGAAGATGGTAGTGGAAAGTGGTGGCGGATGGTAGTGGCGGAAGATGGTGGTGGCGGGTGGTGGCGAGTGGTGGCGGCGGAAGACGGTGGTGGAAAGTGGCGGTAGGTGACGGATGATGGCGGTGGAAGACGGTGGTGGAAAATGGTGGCAAGTGATGGGTGGCGGCGACGAAAGACGGTGGTGGCGGCCGAAGACGGTGGTGGAAAGTGGTGGCAGGTGGGTGGTGGTGGCGTCGAAAGACGGTGGTAGAAAGTGGTGGCAGGTGGCAGGTTGTGGCAGCGGAAGATGGTAGTGGAAAGTGGTGGCGGATGGTAGTGGCGGAAGATGGTGGTGGCGGGTGGTGGCGGGTGGTGGTGGCGGAAGACGGTGGTGGAAAATGGTGGCGGTTGGTGGCTAGTGTTGGGTGGTAAAAAAAAAAAAATTAAAAACTCAAAACAGAAACACATTTTTTGAGTTTACATTTTTTGGCCAAATTTATAAACTGAGACCACTGATTTATAAATCAAAAATTTACCAAACAAGTTTTTATTTGAGTTTTTAAATTTTTTGTAAATATAAACTGAAAACGTAAGTGTTACCAAATGGTACCGTAATATTTTAAACAACTTACTCTTTGTGCGTCGTGAAAAGTGTGATTTTTAACGACTAACTTTTGTTTATCGTGAAATGTTTAATATTTTTAACGGCTGGTGTACGCGTCGTATATAGTTGATGTATTAACAGTATGCCATATGCACGTTATAGAAAGTTTTATTATTTACGGCTAACATTGCAAGCTTTTAAAAAAATTTTTGTTATTAACATTCATCACCTACGCAATAGACACGTCGTGGTTGAGAAACTATTTACGACATGCAAAAAAAGCAAGTCGTAAAAGTGAGAAACTACGGCTTGCATTTACTGTATGTCGTTGATGTGAAGCCGTAAAAACCTAGTTTTGTTGTAGTGATACCAACATGAATTAACATTAGCATTACCTTACCATCAAGCCTGACCAGAAAAAAAAAAAATCCTAAAAATGCATAATCCATACCCACATGAATAATCCCCCTACCGTGGATGACCTACAAACTGTGGAACAGAATTTTGAACCTCAACCTCCCCAAATCATTAACACCTAGCTTGGATTGAATGATTTCAAACACTAAGCATAACATATAAAAATTAAAACCTGCCTAGTAGATGAAATATAGGCTCCATAATTTGCCATATAGATTATCATGAATCTAAGGGAAATTAGCATTACCTTACCATCAAGCCTGACCAGGAAAAAAAAATCCTAAAAATGTATAATCCATACCCACATGAATAATCCCCCTACCGTGGATGACCTACAAACTCCGGAACAGAATTTTGAACCTCAACCTCCCCAAATCATTAACACTTAGCTTGGATTGAATGATTTCAAACACTAAGCATAACATATAAAAATTAAAACCTGCCTAGTAGATAAAATATATGCTCCATAATTTGCCATATAGATTATCATGAATCTAAGGGAAACAACGCATAGATAATCAGAAAGTGTAATGATGCATATAATATACACAAAAACTAGGGCAAAAAAAAAAAAAGGAGTTTACAAAGAGAGCATTTTACTGTAAAAGTTTCATCTTCATTTTTATTTTTCAGTGTTTGGCTAAAAATTAAAAGATTAAATAAAAATAACAAAAGTTTTCCGTTGATACATTTTATCGAACATTTAACATGCAAGGAAAATGGTACGATAAGAATCACAATATCAACAAGCTATTCCAACAACAAAAAAATTCCATAAAAAATGAATGGTTCATTGGTTACAAAGAGTGCAGTGCACGTGGTTAAGGTCAACTAGCATATCAAAAGTTCATGGGGTTGGGGAAGGAATTGAAGAACTTACAATGAATGAGAAAACATAAACCAGAGAGAGAGAAGCAGCAACAGTGAGAGGAGAAGCAGCAACAGTGAGAGGAGAAGCAGCGCTGGAAAGGCCAATGGCGGCGACTAGCAAGAGCAGCGGCGGCGCCAATCAGCAAGGAAAGGAGGAGGAGCAAGAGGGGAGATGGATAGGCGCGTTGATCAGTGGCCATCGGTGGCAGAGGCGAGGTAGAGAGCCGCAAGAAACCCTAGAAAGAAATTGCCCAGCTCTTTCTCTCTCTACCAAAGCAATTTCATGAGCTTATATACAATATGGGAATAATTATTTAATATAAAAATTAAATTGAAAAATTATATATAATCACACCTGAAACCGTGATGAAAATATATATAATCACACTTATTTAAAATGTGTGATTAAAAAAATATATTATCTCACTCATTAAATTAAGTGTGATTAAAAAATCATTTTAATTTTTTTAAACATATTTATAATAAAAGTGAGATATTTTTAATTCTTCTTATGTGATCTTTAATCACATGTTAATTAGAAGATGTGATTAAAAAATATAAATACAATCGCACTTAATTGAAAAGTGATACAAAAAATAAATACTATCACACTTAATCAAATCAAGTGTGATTAAAATATCAAACTAATTTTTTTTTATCACATTTCTAATAAAAGTGAGATATTTTCATTTGTTAAAGTGTGATTAGAAAGTAACCACATGCACATCTTTGTCCTTTAAAATGCTCATCCATGATAATGGAATCATACAATAGTCTCTTCTCCAAAGCACTATGACCTGAAAGCACACATGACATGTCCATTCACAATACAGAACAAGAATAATGTAACACTATAACAGAAAGAAGATAATGAAAAGAGCCTAGATAACCCACTGTAGAAAAACACCGAGCGAAGCTCCACAAGATATAAGAATTCCACCTAAATAAAGTAGTAAACATTAACATGAACATAGTTTGCAACTATATACAGCATTAGTGTATATATAATCACACTTTAATTAGAAAGTGTGTGATTAAAAAATATATAAATAATCACACTTTAATTAGAATGTGTGATTAAAAAATATATATCTAATCACACTTATTTAAAAAGTGTGATTAAAAAGTAGTAGTGTATATATAATCACACTTTAATTAGAAGGTGTGATTAAAAAATATATAAATAATCACACTTTAATTAGAATGTGTGATTAAAAAATATATATCTAATCACACTTATTTAAAAAGTGTGATTAAAAAGTAATAGTATATATGTAATCACACTTTAATTAGAAGGTGTGATTAAAAAGTATATAAATAATCACACTTTAATTAGAATGTGTGATTAAAATATATATATATATATATAATTACACTTATTTAAAAAGTGTGATTAAAAAGTAATAGTATATATGTAATCACACTTTAATTAGAAGGTGTGATTAAAAAAATGTATATATAATCACACTTAATTGAAAAGTGACATAAAAAACATATATTATCACACTCAATCAAATTAAGTGTGATTAAAATATCAATTTAATTTTTTTTATCACACTTTCAATAAAAGTGAGATATTTTTTTTTATCAAAGTGTGATCTTTAACTATTTTTGTAGTAGTGAAAGAAAGTGGATTAGCTTTTCTCTTGTTCACTTTCTCTCCAGGATAAATTACATTGACATTTTTGAGATTTAGGTTAAGTTTGGCATAACATAAAAAAGTCAAAAAGTCGAAAAGTTATTATCTTATTTAAGTCACATTATTTTATTTAAATCACATCACCTCTCTACCACATCACTTCAAACCCAACCCATATTCCATAAAAAGTCAAAAAATACACTTATTTAAATCATTCCAAACAACCCCTTCGTTTAATTATATCTTATTTTTTAATATTTTGAAAAACGTTCACCTGCTAGACTTATGAATTGATAGATAGACCCAGAGGAGACCCTGATAATAATTGAAGTGCACCAGATATTACAAATTTACTGTGTGAACCATCCTTGGGCATAACATCATGAAAGAAAATGGACTAGCTTTTCTCTTCTTCACTCTCTCTCCATGCTAAATTATATTGACATCTTTGAGATTTAGTTTAATTAAATCTTATTTTTTAATATTTTGAAAACTATATTTTTACTCTTATGGTTAATAGTCTTATTTTACAAATCTCACTACCTATATAAGAGATAGCAACTCTTAATTAAAAAATTGAAAAAAATATATTGAAAAAAAAAAGTAAAGCAAAGGAAAGGGGAAAAAAAGAAGAAGAAAGAAATAAACAAAGGAAGAAAAGAAACAGTGCATGAGTTTAATATCTTCATTTCGTCTAAATAATTACAATGACAAGGGAGTTAGTATAATTTCTCAAACGTTAAGGGGTGATACGTATTAAACCCAAACATCAGGGGATGTAAGTGTAATTTACCCTTTTTAATTAGATTATTAAATTCACATAAAAATTAAAAGGAATTTTTAAATAATTTGTGCAAAATTAGATATTAGTGAAGAAAGACTTTAAAAAAGAGAAGTTTGCAGTATTTGATTTGGTTTGTTTTTTCAAACTTTTTTTTTTGAATTTTTTTTTTTTTTTTCTTTGACACTTTTTTTTTTAATAACCCTTTTATTTTCTTTTTAGATTTACTTAATTTAATAATTATTTTTTATTTTTACTTTTAGATTTAGATTCACTTAATCTAAATACATTTAGAAAATAATATGTTGTGTGTTCTTTTTGAAAAAAAAAATTGATATTAAATACTAATAATAATAAAATATAATAATAATAATAATAAATCAATACATGTTCGAATTTATTTATATTTTTATCAATATTTTACTTTTTAATTCTATTTAGATTATTAGATATTAGATATTCATGTAAAAATATAATTTAAATATAAAATATGAAGAAATTTCAGAATCTTTAATCACCAAAACTGAGAAAATATGAAAAATAAACAACAAAAATATGAAAAATCAAAAACTGAAAAACAGATTTAAAAAATAAAACTAACGAAAGTAGTTCTTATTTAAAATTTTGATATCATACTTTGGTTATTAAATTACCATGTAAAATATTACAGTTCAGAAATCTAATCTAAACAAAAAGAAAGTGTATGAAGATAACTTGCAAATTTCTGAGATGCAGTCCAGATCTCTATTTTAAAAACGTATATGCTTTCCTCTATCTAATTTGAATAGATGCATACAACTTTAAGATTCAACCAAAATTATTCACACCGATTTAATTTATGATAGACAATTGTAAATATTATGTATATCAGTATAGAAGCAGACACAGAAAATAAAAAAGAGTAACTATTTTTTATTCTTCAATCATCATCAATGTAAAAAATAAGGGAGACTTACATGTAGGTCCTAATAGGTGGACTTATTATCCAATAGGCCCTGTGAGAATTAATGACATTTTTTATCAAACACTATTAAAAAAGTCACTGTTATTTTTAGCGACAATTTGAAAATTTTGTCACTAATTATAAGTTTTAGCAACAATTTTAAAAAATTCTCACAAAAAAAAAAGTCATTAATTTTTAACTTTCAGCGATAATTTGAAAAATTCATCACAAAAAAAGTCACTAATTATAAGTTTTACTGACAACTTATAAAATCCATGATAAAAAAAAAAAAAAAGAAAAAAAAGTCACAAGTTTTCAATTTCTAGCAATATATGCAAAAAATCATCACAAAAAATCATTTTTAACGATGATTTTATTAGGATTTATTTTCTATAAGACTTTATGGGAATTAAATTCAACTATTAGGACCTATTGGTAGTTTATATGGGTTTTTATTTTATTTTTATTTTTTTATAAGAAAGGAGATGATTTCTTTGTGTGTGTGTATATGTGTGTGTATATATATATATATATAAGACTCTTTGAAGTAAATATATCATTTTTTAGTGTAACTCCAAAAATAAAGATATAGTTGTGTTGGCTACATATTTTGTACAAACCAATTACAATTCGACGTGTGGCAAAATAAGGATAATATGGGAAGACTATTCAAGTCTTCGATCCTGATCGTACACGTGGCAATTAGTATTGGTTATAACGACATCTGAGTAGCAGTGGATCAACAAAGAGATGCAAGGTGATGTGGCTTCAACAGTTACTCACATTTCAAATTCAAATTGAGGATGGAAGCCTAACTGCAAGTAATGGCGTAATGGAGCTAATCTTGAGACAACATGATCAGCGATCATGGAGGAACAGTTCGATCAAGAGATGCAAGGTGATGTGGCTTCAACAGTTACTCACATTTCAAATTCAAATTGAGGATGGAAGCCTAACTGCAAGTAATGGCGTAATGGAGCTAATCTTGAGACAACATGATCAACGATCATGAAGGAACAGTTCGACGGTTAGAAATGCAGTTCGATGGTCATCCTTGAGCAGTATAAATAGCTGAGAAGGCTCTAGAAAAGCCCCCAGACTCAGATCCAAAAAACCAGTCCTATTATACTTATTTCAGTTTTATATTTCCAGTCTTATATTTTCTGTACTTTAAATTTCTGCACTGCACTTCGTTCATAGGAGTAGTTTCAAGTAGATTGTTGTTGCAAACCTCTACGAGGCTGAGAATCATTGTAAGTTTTTTCATGTTAATGAAATACTTCAACTGTTCTTCATTTAATTGTTATTTTGCTTAATTCTCTTAAATCAAGCCACCAGTAAAAGTCCTCTTCATTAAGGCTGAAAGAACTAAAACGCAATCGTCTGATAATTGGTTGGCAATTAATTTTCTGTAAAGACTGATTGATCCTTGCTGGCACGCTCGCAACTACAATAATACCCTTCAAAAGCCAAAAAGCCAACATATATTTTTGGCACGCCCAGTGGGACTAATTGAAATGGCTAAACGTAGGAGATAAGGAGAAAATGAACGCTTGGAAGAAGGCGTGGAATGAGAGGTAGAGATACCTAATCCAGAGGACAATGTGTTAACAAATCCTGTGGAAACTCCCATTTTATCAGAACCTATGGTCAAACAGACCAGCACTTCGAAACGAGTACCAT